AAGTTCTTGACCTTTTTGGACATGAGGCTCGATTTTTAAGTTCATTTCCGCATAGCGGTGATCTCGTCAAGTTCGATGAATAGAAAAAAGTTAGATAAACAAATCGTTTTCCATTTTCCTGGCTGAATGAATGTCCCAAGAAACGTAATGACCATTTCAAGCGGAACGGAACGGATAGCACACCTGGTTAAATTGATTCGTAGAACCGACTGGAGGAAGGTTTTGCAGAATTAGTGACCTAGTTTTTTCTCGTCAAGTCTCTCACAGTCTAGACGTTATCGTGGAAACCGAGTGTTTTCGTCCGGTGCAAGTGCTTGTAGGCGCAGCCGAAACCAGTTTCGAGCTAATCCGATAATCGAGGCTGACCAGACCCAGGGGATGAAATTCGTTTCATTCCCTAAGTGGATATCACGAACCGGAACCACTGTGTCGTCCGTGTGATTTAATAATCAGCTCGCATTATTCACTATACTGATTTAATTAGCAATCGCGATCCCTGTATTCTTTTGTTTGTTTGTTTTCGGTGGGATGGGGACTTAAAATTGATTCAATGTCCATCTTGTGAAGGTTCGAATGAAAAGCGATGAAGTGTGATTTGATGTCCTAAGCGACCACAACAGACTATTCGATGTATTCAGCTGGTGAAAACACCTCACCTTTATATGAAAGCAATATATAATTATCCACCTATTCATGTGGAGCCAGTTATTGTATTTTTAATCAGTCGATTAAGTAATAGCCTAAATAAATATCTGTTCCTCCCGTTAAGGTAACCCATCCACTTATCTCCCAGATATGACGGCGGAAAACCATAATAATTAATAGTTTTTGTCAAATATCGAGAAATTTAAACTCAGATACTTGTGGATTTTAAGCCGTATATATAGAAGGTTCTTTTGTACCCTGATCGACGGAATGAGCAATAAGCATTTTGATTAAAAATCAATTTACATCATTTGGTTTACATCATTTATTCGTCCTCAGTGCAGATCTTTTCGGAATTGAAGAAGACCATCCATTTGGCTTATAGTAACCACATTTTTTTAAACGTGAAACGCTGCAGACGTTTTGCACATACCAAAGTTTGTATGATAATAGGTATAGAGCTCTAAGCCGTTTATCAAAGATGGCATGCATTTTATCAACCCTAGCGCTTCCTATTTAGCTCCGTTAAGTGCGGCCAGCTAATAACCAAAAACATTGGATGCAAAAAATGGGAGAGGAAATATTCTTAATTACGCACCTTTTGTGTGAGGAACTCCAAATGAAGCAAATTAAATAGTTAGAGGGGCCTATTGTTGTTCAGTCTTGTTGAAACCGACAAACTAAACCGAGCAATTCCCCATCAAGATGGGTGTGGTATTGAGCCGGACGACAGTGAAGCTGACTACCGCTAAAGGTGGGTGGGAGGTTCGACCTCACACTCTAAGGCCCAAAGCGCGTCGATGACAACAAATGGACCACCACCACCACCAAACTGTCAAGGCGGGTATTATTTAAACAAAATAATATCCAGCAGATAGTAGTAGACAATTTTCTAAGTAGTACTAATCAAGACATTCGATTGTGTAACCCGTTGGCCGGTACATAGAGCATCGAAATCAAGCAAAACACAATTTTGCTCCCTAAAATCTGATGTCCTAATGAAATATTTGTCATCTATTCATTTCAA